GGTGGCAAGCTCGAGCTGCTGCTAGGAGGCGCGTGAGCTGAGGTCGCCGAAAATGCGACTGTGCAAACGCCGCGTGAACAGGGGGGGACGAAAATCGAGTGCAGTGGCAGGGACGGCGCCGGTACAGACACATGATGAGCTCGCCGGAGGTCAGGTCGACGTGGGAGAGCTGCGGGCGTGACAGGGCCGAGCTTGGGTGTCCGGGATTGGGCTCAATTTGGACCAACGTGGGTCAATGTGGCACAGCTCGGGTTCAGAGGTCACCGGCGGGTACTGCTTGTTGGAAAACGGCTGGGAATCTGGTCGGGAATTGTGCTTGAAGGTGGTGGTGATGAATCTTGAATGGTGGCTAGGGTTTGAGTAAAGTGTTGGGAAGAAGATGAAGTGATATTGGGGGATATTTATAGTGGTAGGAAATTTAGGGTTTTGTGTAGTAATTGGGCCCAACATTGGGCTTTTAATTAAATTGACTTGAACTTGAATAATCGGGCTTCAAAATTTCTAAAATCGGGCCTTTAAATTTCCTACTATCGGGCTCGATTAAATCAAACATAAACTTAAGAAATCTTATTTGTTCGGTATTATAAGTCGGCTGGAACTTAGACTAAATAAATTAGTCGCTCGAGTTACTAAATTAATTGGGCCTGTAATTAAAAATCGACTATATGCTCGATTAACTTAAATGGGCCGATTAAATAAATTGGACTTGCTCGAAAATGATTAGGCTCGAATAAATGAATTATTCGGCCTTGGTCAGCTTAAATACAGTCCCAATCATTCCAAGGCTCGGTTTAAAAAATATAACCGATACTTGGGCTAAATAAATTCGACTTTAATAATTAAAATCGAATAAATTCTCCATGGCTTAGACTTTAAATACTATTTACTCAATTTAATGCAACTAATAACAATAAACGCATCAAATTAGGAAATTTAATATTTATGGAATATAGTCGAGCTCCATAAATGGTATTTAATATACTGGACGTTACAGAAAATTCCAGGCGAATTGAGCTTGCTAACCATAACCTCGTCATCAATCACGATCTCAATGATCCTCCAATCCAACATGAAAGCTTTCCAAAGTGCTTGCCGAATACCAGTAAGAACAGCTTCCTCCAAATCCCTACAAGATGGAATGGAGTTTTGCCACACCCTATAGATTTCTTTAGAATCTATTTTTTTTGCTATACAACAAATGCCACAACCAGCACATGGAACAACACTAGCACTGAAAAATATCAATATTTGTCCTACTGTGTTATCTACAGTCCCAAATGAGCAAAAAAGAGAAGTTGCCAAATTATGAACATTCTTGTATTCAAGCCATTCTGCTCTGGCTTTCTCCACCATATCAAATACAGAAATTAAGGATTTTTCAAATGGCCACAGATTCCTAGTTTTCCATAACCATGATAGAAGATAAACCGAGAGCTCTAATCTGTCTTCCCAACATTCTCCTCGATTTGCAGTACAGATGTCCGACCACCATCAACTAAAACTATCTGATCTGATTTGAGTATTATCCCAGTGAATAGGAGATAACTTCCATACTCTTTGTGCTCTCTCACAATTGAAAAAAATATGGGTCTGATTTTCAGCAAATTCTCCACAGAAACAGATCAAAGAAGAAGAAATGATGCCTTTAATGTTCAACTTATCAGCCACAGGTAGAAAATTATGAATGCATCTCCAAAGGAAGACTCTGAGTTTGGGTTTTACCTGGGGACTCCAGGTGGCAGACCACATCTTCCTCTTAATTGCTGCACTAGTGCTGCTTTCAGGTACTGCAATCTCCTTTTTCTTCATGTCCAGAATAGAATTATAACAAGATTTGACAGAGAATATGCCATTCTTTTCCTCCACCCAAATGAATATGTCCCTGTTAGCAGTATCCTCAAGAGGAATGTTGAGGATTTCAGTGGCCTCTTGATCTGTGAATAGCTTTTGAATCAGTGGGACATTCCATTTCTTTTTATAATCCAGAAGCAGATCACTCACCCACTCAACTTCAGAGACTCTGCCAGCTCTACCTGTAGGCTTGAAATTAGACAGATTAGGAACCCAAGGAGATTCCCAATCCTAATGTTCTTACCATCCCCCACTTTCATCCTTAAACCTGTTGTCAGTGCCTCCCTTGCTTTTGCCCAACTTTTCCAAACCCATGAGTCTTGATTTTTTACCTTAGCATTAAGAACACCACCAGTTGGGAAATATTTTGCCTTCATAATCTGACTCATTAATAAATTAGGTTTAGTGATAAGCCTCCACGGCTGTTTGGCCAAGAGAGCAACATTAAAAATTTCAAGGTTCCTGAAGCCCAATCCACCCTGATTTTTTGTGGCACACATCTTACCCCAATTTACTGAAGCCAGCTTTTTAGTGCTATCATCAACTCCCCCTCCCCATCAAAAAATTCTGGCCTTTAGGTTTATGTTGTCACAAGTAGCTTTTGGGATCTTGAAGCATGACATGATGTATACAGGCAAAGAGTTAATGACTGACTTTATCAAGGTTGCCTTGCCAGCAGCACTAAGAAAATTACCTTTCCAGTTCAGAATTTAGAGTGAGTGACCTCTTCAACATACTGAAACACTTCCCTTTTTGATTTCCCAATCACCATTGGAAGCCCGAGGTATTTTCCTTTTTTCTGTTCCTTCATTCCCCCCAGAATTCTGCACACATTATTTCTAGTTGCTGAATCACAGTTTTTGCTGAAAAAACAAGAAGATTTCTCAAAATTCACCAATTGGCTGGATGCTTCACAATAGTCTTTCAAAATCCACAGCATGTTCTGCATAGAACTAGGAGAAGTATCACGAAAAAGCAAAGCATCATCCGCAAAGAATAAATGAGAGATCAGGGGGCGTTTTCTACAAATTCGGATTCCTTGCATCTTCTTTCTGGAAATAGCTTGATGGATAAGATTGGAAAGTGCTTCAGATATAAGAATGAAAAGATAAGGAGAAATCGGGTCTCCATGTCTTATTCCTCTAGAAGAGTTCACAAAACCACAAGCTTCCCCTCCAAGATTAAAAGAGAAATGCACAGAGCTGATGCAACTATAAATCCAGTGAGTGAACTTGGAGTCAAACCCCAACTTAGCCATGACAGAGATTAAGAAATTCCACTCGACTCTATCGAATGCTTTGGCCATATCAAGTTTAAGAGCCACAGAGCTTTTTTTTTTCCTTTTCTGAGATGGTTCAAAAAATTAAGGCATTCGTGAACAATAACCACATTATCGAGGATTTGTCGACCCGGGACAAAAGCAGACTGATTAAGGCTAATGCAAGAGGGAATGACAGATTTCAGTCTACAAGCGAGGATTTTGGAAATAACAACATTCAAAAGGCTGATAGGCCTATAATGAGAGATCTCGGTAGGATTTTTAACTTTTGGGATCAGGGTTACTAAGGTTTGATTGACACTCTTGGGAATTTTAGAGCAACAAAAGAAATCAGCCATTGCTTCAAAAATGCAATTCTTAATTTTGTCCCAAGAAAACTGTAAGAACAAAGAGGACATACCATCCATGTCGGGTGCCTTATTTGGATTTACGATTTGTGAAAAATACAAGTTGTGAAAAATACAAGTTGTATATTTATGTTTTCAAAATTGATTTACGATTTGTGAAAAATAAATGATTAAAAAATAATCATTAATGAACACGTAAAAATTTGGGTATGAGATTTGAATGGTCTCTTATATTAGAATCTTAAATGAGTTTCTCATTTTTTATAGATTAAATATAATAAAATGAGTTTGAGACGTCACAACAATAACAAAGCTACCAATAAAGTATTATTGATGACTTCGACCACACCCGCGAACCGACTGGCTCGGCTCGGCTCGAGCACGAGCACGGGCCTAGGCTTTGGCTTTGTAAATTGTAGGCTAATTTTTATGTATAATGAACGAAACAAAAGTATTTGTAAAAATACAAGGGTGTGTTATTGTATTGCATCCCTACAAAAATGGGTAGAAATAAATACTAATATGCTAAGATGCAGTTACCAAATCTGAAAAGTTGTAACCTATCTTTAATTTATGGGGCCGATTTTCATGCCAAATTAAAAGAATTAAAAACCGACATGTAAATATATCCTGATATTAAGACATGTAAACTGACATGTTTCGGACGGTCATGAATCCATAAAACACGTTGTAGCTAAGGTAAGTGTATATTTCTAGTATATGTTTTGTATATGTTACGGTAAAACATATATTGGTAAGTGAAATCAGTTAAAACATATGTTTCTAAGGTAAGTTAAAACATATATTGGTTGTGCATCGTTTCGGACAGTCATGAATCCATAAAACACGCTATAGCTAAGGTAAGTGTATATTTCTAGTATATGTTTTGTATATGTTATGGTAAAACATATATTGGTAAGTGAAATCAGTTATATGTTTTATATATGTTTTGTAGATGTTTTGTATATGTTCTAGTATATGAATCCATAAAACATGCTGTATAATTAAAACGTGCATGTTATTGGTAAGTGAATTTTGCATTTCTTGGATTTATCTTTTATTAGTTTCTCTTCTTCTTCTTCATCGATCGAACATTCTTCGCTATCACTCACTTCGGCATGAATTTCTTCCTCGAAATCGGAATCCGGTGACTTGATATTTTTTTTCGATCTCCCCAATTTCTCGTTGAACTGCAATTTCTTTTGTACAAGGGTTGGGTGCATGTTTGATTTCATATCCCTTAGACGATAACTCGACCTCCGATGTGGTGAATTTCCGTCTTTGATGGATGGGCTTCTTCCAAATTTGGTCTTTGCCATTGAGAGGATATAGGGTATTGTGGGTAAATTCACGGTTGAAGTAGACGATTGGCCTTGTTTGGTGATCAGCGGATAGCGGATTGTATCAGCGGATAGCGGATTGTATTAGCTGATTTGACCAGCGGATTGCATTAGCAGTTTTTAAATAAGTGTTTGGTAAATAGCTGAAAGCTTATAGTTGTTTGACATTGCAAAATGACCAATAATGGCATTTTATTATTTATGGTGTATTCTTTTAATAATAATATATTAAAACATTTGATATTATTTAGTTGGTAATTTATAAATATATATATATATATATATATATATTAAATTTACTAATACTTGATGAAGAAGTTATGAATTTTAATTTTTCTAGATAAATTAATTATATGGATGACATATTATTATTTATTAGCACCATAAACTAATGTAGATTGTAAAATAAATAATACAAACTCAAAAATTCCAAATAAATGATTTTTGTGAATCCTCTTTCCCAAAAAGCTGCCCTAATGAGCTTTTTCTAAATTAGAGTTTTGGACTCAAAAAGCTTATCAAATAAGCTATTTACCAAACATGCTCAATAGCGGATTTGACGGGTCAAACCTCTCAATTAAGTCCAATCCGCTAATTTATCTTCAATCTACTATCTTACAAACGGGGCCATTGTTTACTAGTGGGAGAGAGAATTTAAAGCTCCATTACCTTTTTATCGGGTCCGTTTCTTGTACTTATTCTCTTTCCATATATTTTGGTGATGATTTTGTGATTTGTTTAAAAAATCTGATATAATTACTTTTGTGGCATATTTGCAAATAAATAGTATAATTTGTTTAATATTGCTATTATTTATATATTGATATTAATTGTGTAATAAAAAGTGTAATGTATGGTGTTTTGAGTAATTTTCTCTAAATTGTATTGTGGGCAGCCTTGCCAATTTTACTGTGGGTGGCATTGGACGGTCTGAGCCGGTGTTGGGCTTGTGCCTTGGGCCTAGCCTTTATAATCTTTTTGTTGCAAATTTATTTGCAAAATTGTAACCTAAAGTAAAACTCAAACCGAGTTGGATTTGGACTCAGAGTTTGCAAGTCCGAGAAATTCAGTGGGATTGACTTCTTGAGATGGCAGCAGAAGATGCATTTCAACCAAACCATTTTGGATTTGGTGAAGTACCTAAAGGACGACCCACATGTTGTTGCTAAAAGCAAGACCAATGATGAACCACACACTGCATATGATGCTTTGGGGCAAGGTAACTACTTTTATCATAACTACACCTTGAACTGACTTAGTAACAAGTTGTACAATGTGTATAGGTCGATCAATTTAGACAAGGAACTTTGGTATACCTTGGAGAAGAAGTACAAGTCTGAAGATGTCAGTGCAAAGTAAATCATCGTCGAAATTTTTTCACTTCAAGATGGTCGAATCCAAGACCGTCGTGTCTCAAATGCAAGAGTTTCAAATGATCTTGCACGTCATCTATGCTAAACGAATGACTTTGAGTGACGTTCCAACTTGCGACTGTGATCGAGAAGTTATCGCCAGGTTGAAAATACTTCAAGAACTACCTCAAGCATAGGAGGAAGAAAATGAGTCTTGAAAACCTAGTTGTTCATCTTCAGATTGAGGTGGACATTCGTACATTCGTAAGTCTTCGGGGAAAGCCCGGATGATGAAAGATAACTTGTTGGATGAAGGCAACTCGAGAAAAATGAAGCTCCTCAACAAGGGGAAGTATCCTGCCATTGTTTGGAAATTTATCGGAAATTGCCACAAATGTGGAAAGCCAAACCACATAGCGAAAGACTGCAAGAAGCCTAAAACGGTAGCGCCAAATGAGGTGCAACCTAGTACGCACATTTCTAAACATGGCATGTGTCGAACAAACTGAAAAATGTTGATATCTCGGTTGTGGTGTTTGACGCTAATATGGTGGATAACCCAAGGGAGTGATACGTTGATAGATGTTCCACTCTATGTCTAATTCTACAAGGAGTTGTTTTCTGACTACACTCCTTCTACTGGTCGGAACTTGCACATGGGAAGCTCTTTCTTGTTTAATGTGGCTGGAGTTGGCACCATGGTGCTCAAGCTGACTTCTATAAATGAGTTGAAGCTTAAAAAAGTTCTACATATCCTGGACATTTGCAAGAATTTGGTCGTCGAACTCTTCTTGTAGATCATAGATTTAGACTAGTGTTTGATGCTAAGAAGTTTGTTCTTAGCAAGTTTGGAACTTTCCTTGGTCATGACAATCATGACAAGGGATTATTTAAAATGAATGTAATGGATGTGAGCCTTTTAATCGTTTCAAATATAATGAAAAGCCTATTTCTGTTTATGTCGTTGCGTTCTCTAATTTATGGCATATTAGATTAGGACATGTAAATCTAAATACAATTAAACAATTGATGAATTTAGAATTAATTTTTAATTCTAAAATAAAGTCACATAAAAAAGGTGAAATTCTGTTTGAAACCAAAATGGTTAAATTACATTTTCATTCAGTGGGAATGAGTACTGAATTATTGGGTTTAATCCATATTAAGGTATGTGACTTAAAAATTGTGCAAACGATAATGGGTAGACATGCCCCGGCCCGGTAAAACCCGTTGACCATGAGTTCGGGACCAGACAGAATTTCCAACGGGTCGTTTTAGGGTCATCCATTTCATGACTAGTCTAGGCCAGGCCAGGCCGATGTTTCGTTTTTTCTATTTTTTTTCTATTGTTTTTTTTTTAAAAAAAAATGACGAACCATGCCCGGACACGACCTGACACGAGTATAGGTCCGTGCCAGGTCCGGGTCATTATTTTCGAGCCCTGCCCGCCGGGCCGGGCATTTTGGCCATGTATAGAGAACGAGTAAAATATTTTATAATCTTTATCGATGATTGCACAAGGTTTTGCTACTTATATTTGTTAAGAAGCAAAGATGAGGTTGTGGAAGCACTTAAAACTTTAAGACCGAAGTTGAAAATCAAATTGGGAGAAGGACTAAAATAATCTGAAGTGATAGGAGTGAGGATTATGTAGCTTCTTTTGAACAATTTTTTTTTTTTTTAATATGACATAATTCATCAAACAACGACCCTCTATTCTCCACAGTCAATTGGTACTTTTGAACGCAAGAGCAGAACCTTAGAAAAAACGATGAATTCCATGTTGGGAAATTTGAGATTACCCCAAAACATGTGGGGATAAGTTGTTTTAAAAACAAATTATATCCTACATAAAATACCACCCAAAGGGAAAAATGAGACTCTTTAGTAAATGTGAAAAACTCGTAAGCCGTCTTATAAACACTTGAAGGTGCGGGGGTGCTTAGATAAGGTTTCAGTTCTTGAACCCCAACAAATGAGCGGACCAAAAATATTTGATTGTATCTTTATTGGATATACGTACAACAGTATGCATATACAATTTAGGTTCATAAAACAAAAAACTAGAGGTATGTTGGAACCACAATTAAATCGAGAAATGCTATACTTCTTAGAGGTATCTGGCACGCGGCTGGTGGCTCGTGGCTGCACCTGTTATGATGTCGGGTCGTGTGGTGTCTGGGTCTGCTGGCTGATGCGCTAGGAGCGTTGGGGCGCTTGACGGTGTGCACGGGCACTGGGTTGGGCACGTGAGTCGCTGGGAGCGTTGGTCGACGCTTACAAGCCAGGGGCGTCCACGAACATCTCGCGGACTGCGGGCCGCCTGCGGGGGAAGCGCGTAAGCGGGACACACATGGAAGCATAAGGGCATCAAGCGCGAGCGGTGCACTCCAGCGAGCGCAGGTACGCGGGCACACCTAGGAGCGGATCTATGCAGGCACGGGTCATCTACTACTGCGAGTGTGGGCCTACGCTGGGCACACCTTACTGGGTTGCAGCTGGTTTAAGGGCTCGATAGTATGGTTCGACTTAGGGAAAATTCTCTGGAAGAAAAATTGGGTTTTGTGATCGACTAAATTCAAACAAAAACATGAAGCACAAAACAATCTAACTTTGGAAAAATTAGAGGTTTACCATGCACCAGAAAAGGATTCGGCCTGAAGAATTTTCTCTCGATTTGAAGGGAGTCTCCGCTTCTATAGACAACTGCTTGGTTTTGGAAAAAAAAAAAATAATAAAAAAAATAAAAAACTTAGGGCTGCTCTTGTGGTCATCAGTAATGTCTCGGAAGAAAATTTGGGAAATGGTGAAGATGAAGGGTAGTGGCGGATGAAGAGGGAAGTGAAGGGAAAGAATTTGGCCAATAGATTTTAAAGAGAGAGAAGAGATTGAGTAATTGACTGCGTGAAATCACCAATTGATCTTGGGAGTTACTCTTGACCGATTAAATCCAAATATATTAAGGTAAGATATTTCTTTCCCATTTTATGCTTTTAATTAATTCAAAACATTCTTTTTATAATATATTTAATGAAAATAATAATAATAATAATTTTTTATTATTAGTATTTAATTATATTTTATTATTATTAATATTTTATTATTATTATTATTATTATTATTATTATTATTATTATTATTATTATTATTATTATTATTATTATTATTTAATTGGCTAAATTTATTTAAATGGTAAAATAGGATTATTAAATATGCTTAACTTAATTAAATGGATCATGCTCGATTATAATTCATGGGGATTTAAAATAGCGAGGCGCTACGACCTACCCTCCTGATTAAATTTTCATCCTCGAAAATGCAAGACGTACCTCAAAATGCAAACTTAATCATAATGCAACACTTCAAAATAATAACTGGCTGAAAACATGTAAAATCATACCTTGGAGTCGGTGTGACACGAAGGAGAAGAGTGGTCGAAGTTTTAAAAAGTATTTCATGTCGACTAAAATATTCTGAATGAGTCTACAGAACCGTCAACCCATTCTAATACCACTTCGTAATGCCCCGATTTTCAAAAGGTGAAATTTATATTTTTAAAAGGTCATTAATGGATTTTGAAAACAACACTCGAGCCAAAATCAACATTTTAGTTTTGAAAGCACAAAGATATTTCAACGTTTAGTATTTCAACATCCATTATTCGTACTCTGATAATGCAACTCATAAACAACTTAGCAGTTTAAACTTTGTGAACTCAATCCGACAACTTCATCATATCCTTAAAACTCAAATCATAATCATGAACTTCATATCGTAATTAAAGACGAAGGGAAACATAATGCATTCAAACCAAATTTCAATGTTCAAAGCCAACTTAATCATAAAATACACAAGCCATAATCCAAATTCAAAAAACCATTTAAAAATAAAAACGCCAATTTAATTTGAAGGTGAGCACAACGCCGTCCTCCAGTCCACACACCAACTCGTCAACCTGCAAATGTTAAATGAGGGCTGAGCATCAACAGCTGCGTGGGGAAACCATATTGCGCAATTATCCAAGCTAACAATGAATACAACAATAATCATATGCACATAATACTTTTGCCCGAAGGCCAAGCTTCAAGCCTCCATGGTATACCCGGCTTAGGGGCTCTTTTTTCAAGCCTCCATGGTTTATCCAACTTAATGGCTATTATAGGACCCAACTTCAAGCCCCCCATAGTATAACCAACTTAGTGACTCTTATTTAAACTTCCATGGTAACCAGGCATAATGACTATTATATACTGGAACCGTTAATTTATACTTTCGCCCGAAGTCATAGCCCTGAAACATATCAAAATCATTATTCTATGCAATTAAAAAGAATAAACACGAAGTATAAATATCCACACCTCGAATTGTCGAATGCCAAAAATAAATGAACGTCGATGATCGCCTCACGAACCCGACTCCTTGAAATCTACACGTAAAATTATCTAACATAAATATAATGCATAATTAATATTTTTTTAATATTAATTTAATTAATTAAGAATCCAGGCTCAGCTAAGGATTTCGAAGAATGGCCATCGCCTTGGTTAAAAGATAATATAAGGCTTGGAGGGCTGAAATTGGTAAACGGGTCGCCAAGGGTTCACGGCTAGGTCTCGAGTCTTTTCGGCACACAACTGCACCAGGTATGCTGCTGGGTGGTGCGGCTCGCGCTTGATCTTGTTAGCTGGTGCGCCGGGAGCATTGGGGCGTTCTACGTGTGTGCGCGCAGGCAGTGGGACGCTGGGGGCATGCGAGCGCACACGGGATCGCTGGGAGCGCTGGTCGGTGCCTACAAGCACCGAACTTGGGAGTTTAATCTGATTGTGTGATTTGGCCGATCGATTTTAAGGTGAGATAATAGATTGAGTAAATGATTGCGTGAAATCACCGCGATAATTGATCTTGGGAGTTACTCTTGACCGTCATGCGAGTTCCGTGAGCAACAAAAATCAGGGTTGCCTATGAATTCTATCATTTATCATCAGTCAGTGGATTAAAAATCTTGAACGTTCCAAGGAATGACATGGCTGCTCAAGAACCCGCTCAAAACATGGGAAAAGAAATGCCTAAAGTAGGTCCCCACGTCAGTTTAAACTCCACTCTCTATGCTCTGGAAATTCAAATTTCGGATCGCTTTGGCTGAAGAAGGGTTACCGGGCGATGCCATCATCCCTTTCCTTAGATGCCCACTTCCATCGGGGGCGCTTATGTTACAGGGTAAGGAAACGTTCAAATCGAATTCTATCACAATTCGTTAAGCCAACTCTGAACACATTCTATAGCCTTTGTCCTTCTCTCAATAACATCGATCCTCTCCTCTCCCTATGGCCGAGACTCACTTCACTCTCCTCTATGACTTAACTTCGTTTCTCGCTTCGTTTGTACCTCTCATGGCAACGTCTAACATATGTTATAAGACCTTGTAGTCTAGTCTCACTTTGCTCACCTGCACTCGATTAAATCCAAATATCTTAAGCTTTCCCCTTTTTTAAGCTTTTAATTATATCAAATCTTTTTTTATAATATATTTAATGGTAATAATAATAATAATAAGAATAATTTAATTAGCTGAATTTATTTAATTGATAATATCTAATATTTAAACAACCAATATAATATAATCCCCTTACACAAGACAATAATAGTAGGCAATGCCCCGCTGTGCGCGTGTGGAGTGCTACTGTTAGCATCCATTTGAAGGAGAGTCGTCAAATAGCATGGCACATAGGTGTTCAAGAAAAGATTATGCAAATGAACCAATAATATCATGAGACAATGCTTTGAAACTATTGTTCTGGATTTTAGACTCATATTGAATAATTGAGTCAAATAATTACCTTTAATCTTGAAAGAAGAGAGATATCAGAAAGACAAAGTATCACACAACCTTCAAACAGAACACAATCTGTATCGTTGTCAACATAAACAAGCATCAGTTTGCGTCACCGCATAAAAGTACTCGTGAACCACAGATCTTGACGATTCTCACATTCCGTTCAGAAAATCTCTAAGTAAAGAGTAAGATAGAGAGAACAAAAACAAATCCAGAGGACCATAACTCAACATCAAAGTTTCTCAATACAGAATGAAAGCAATAACAAGACCTTAAAACTAACAGCTTGTCAGTGTTTCTAGTTTTCTTTCCACGTGCTTCTACACTTGGTGCACTTGTAGAATATTGTCATAGGCTCATCGGCTGACCTGGTCTGAACTTCGATAAAAGAAGCTTCCCCATGACCACAGGCAGGGCAGGACACCCCTACAAACAGAGGAGCAAATTTTAATTTGTGATTATCAAATTTAAATGACACTGCATCACACGGATCAGATTGTTTATTCTATTTGTTTCTTCTTTATTTTTTTGTGCCATCGACATGTAGGAACATGTTAATTATGTAGAAGGTAGTTCAAGTCAGTAGCATTTAATTGGAAAAAAAAAAATGGAAAAAAAGTTTATTTAAGCTATGGGTAAAAATATGTAAGAGCATAAGGAGACTTTTCATAATTTTGCCATAACAAGTTCCTAAAAAACACGGAATTCTTAGGTATTAACAAAAACGAATCACATTTTAGTTTCTGCAAAAGCGCACTTCTAATTTTGGTTCTCCTTCATTTAATTAGAATGAAAACTGTGGGAGAGGTGCTTTAGAGCATCTCCAATGTGACTTTTGACATTATAAAAATTCATCAATATCATCAACTTTTGAAAATGTGTTATTAATTTGTTCTCCAATGCATCTTGTCATGAGCTCTTTCATGATGAGGTGGATAGCATTTAATGTTAACAATGTTGAACACACTTTCTAATATCTAACACCATGTTAAACATGATGACTAATTAATTCACTTTATATTTTATTTTATTTTTTATTTTTCTTGTATTAATGATTATTTTAATTGGTCCACATATACAAATAAATTCTTATCAAATTGATGCATTGGAGATACTAATTTGATTCAAATTTCTACTCTTTTAACATTATTCATAGGTGGATTAACATTACAATCATTGATTGACATGTGTTAAAAATTATAGTTTTTCAAAGGTGTAGCATTGGAGATGCTCTTAGGCTATGATTGCTTTGTCAATTTGTTTCTTAAAATTGTCATCAAACTTTTCATGAGGGAAATGGAAAAAACTTTCAGAAACTAAGCTGTTGATTTCATTTTCTTCGTTTTTCAGTCTCCAATTGTATCCAACTGTAATTTTATGTTTAAGAAATTTATCAACTGTTAACCGTCTCATACAAATCCAATAACTGGTCCAATGCAACTAGTACCTATTCCTATTATTATTTAAACTAATCTCTCAACAATCATCGTCGCATTTATTCCCTCTGAAAATGGAAATGCCTGAAAGAAAAGATCATGTAATCGGAGCCTTTGACTCTTGTTTTACATATAACTTGACTTCCAAATCCGAAAACTCTACTTTTCAACCTATCCACCAAATATATGTCTTATTTCTTACAAACTTTTTGCTTACATTTGCAAAATCTACCGACTTTTGGTTTTTCAACAAATTTCAGTTTCTTGTACCATAAAACAACTTCCAAAAGCAGAAATATTCACAAACAAACACCCATTTCATTGGTTAACAAAAAAGTCTAGTGCTAACTTCTTGAAGGGTAAAGCAAAAAGGTTAAAATTGTACCTGAAGTTTTGTTGATAACTTTCTGGTCATCTTCCGAGAAAATGGGTTCCATCGGTTTCCTAACTAGGGGCATATGTTGTTTTATCTTGACCACATAAAAAGAATGGAAAGCCGATAAGTGAAAATGTAAACAAAGCATTTATCAAAGGCGATATATCAAGAAATCGAACTTTGTTACCTTGTTCTCTACTCTACATATATAAGGGCACGTCGGGCAGAAAAATTGATTAGGATGTGCCATGTAAGCCAATTCAAAGAGCAACATAGTCCCACAAGTTGGACAAAACTGCATTTTACCACGTCCTGCAGCATATGGTTGTGGAAGACATAGTCTTATCAAGGAAGAAAGAATAAAATCGGCCAAAGCTCTTACAGCATATAAGATACAACAGAAAAAAAAAATAATCCTAGCCAGAGTAAAAAGAGAATAAAATGAATTAACTACAAACCCAGAACAGAATCAGGTAAATAATAGAATGACCTAATACGAACTCACGGCATCAATATTCAGTGTGTGCTAGGGCTGCAAAGGAGCCGAGCCGAGTCGAGCATTGGCCTTATCGAGCAGGATTGAGTTTTTTTTTAGCTGCTCTAGCTCGTCGAGCTCCATTTTTTAGGCTCGAGCTAGACTCGATATAAAATAACAACAGCTCGAGCTCGACTCGAAATCAAAATGCTAAAGCTCGGCTCGAGTTCGGCTCGAAAATTAGGTAAATTACCATAACACCTATGCTAATATATATAATAAGGGGTATTTTAGTAATTAACGTATATCTCGAGCCGCTCGACGAGCCGCTAGACAAGGCAAAATATGGGCTCGAGCAGGCAAAATATGGGCTCGAGCTCGACTCGAGTTCGTGCTCGAGCGGCTCGAGTTCGGTCATACTCGAGCTCGAGTCGAACTTTGACTCGAGCGCTCGCGAGCTGCTCGTGAGCCGCTCGACTCGTTTGCAGCCCTAGGACTGTGTGCCCACCAAAATTAAACCTTCCTATAACCCTTCAGCAATAAAAATGACAGAACTGACTTCAGAGGACAGAGAAACTACATCATTGATCGTGAAACTGTAGATGTTTTTGCTATAGAATTTTCCAAGCCCCAACACAGAAAACATAAAGTCAGACTCACCGAATACCTGTCTTCGATGGCCAGTGGGTGCGGAGTGAACCGCCGTTGAGTGAACTAGGTCGCAGGTGCGGACTCGGGACAGCCGGACTTGATGGGCGCCGGGCAGTGGCAGCTGCGTGCGGTCTGATCGTTACCTCCGGGAAGTGGCTGGTGCGTGGGGGGTGCGGGAAGGTGAGTGACGGGCTCCGGCCGTAGGTAGTTGGAGAGTATCGCCAATCGTTGATAGAGATTGGGGAATCGGAGATGATAATTAGGGCCTGCTTTCGTGCTTCACGGTTTTTTAGCCCTATCGAACTAATATTTTAATTGGTATCTAAAAAAATTCTAATATATACATTATAAATTACAAAAACACAATAATCATATTTTAATAATGTTGAAATTTAAAATATAAAATTTTATAAACTCTATAGTGTATATATATTCTTGGGCTTTGTTCATTTAAATTTATATTCTCCAGTTTATTTTCATGTTCATTCCCAAATTAAAAAATGGACTCGGCATAAGACGTACTCGACGAATTTCGACAAAAGACGGAAGCCACTAATTCTGGCGAAAGACAAACCCGACAAACATCGGCCGAAGAAGTCGACCAACTCCGACGAACTCCCAACAGAGAAACTTGCGTGACTATCTCCAAATGACTCCCAACCCGTCTTTTCCCGGCAAACGAAGATTGTCACTCTTTGTGAAATCTCCCAGCTTCTTAGGCGAATATTTTTTTTAAAAAAAAAAATCAAATCATTAAGTTCTTGTTTTTTAAATCCTTAGTAAAAAAAGAAAGTGGCAATGATTGTTGATTTTTGTTCATATCTACCAATTATTTATATTGGTT